AGCCAAAATATTCAATATCTATTTGTTTTCAATAAATTGCAAAAATTTTCCTACTCTGTACCCCTTTTCCTCTAACCCTACTATCCGAATATTCTTCCCTGAATGACTCGTGGATGAATCAGTGTTTTAAAGGTGTCACTGTTTAAATTTTCTCTTGGGTTGTTTTCTAATCAGTTAATCCATATCTGTTAATAGATCACTTAAGTCTGGCAGATAATAAAGGTCAGAGTGCAGACGAAGCATTATAATAAGCTTGCTACTGCCACAGTTAGATCAGAATCATGGCTTCTGACAGTCACCTGGCTTTTTAGCACACTGCCATGCTTACAGTGAGTAATCAGAATGTATGCTAACCACAGCTGTGACGGGGCAGGCCTTGCTCCCGGGTGTAGCCATTTCCCAGGAGGGTGTGTTCAGAAATGGATGCTCTTCAGGATATGGACAGAAAAGACACCCTATTGAGTGCTGCTGTTGTCTTCATCCTGCCTTGTGATAACCAGGAAGCATTTTGCAGTCCGTTTATTTTAAATTAGGGATAATACTATCTTTTTAATAGGCTTATTGTTGAGTTACTTTATGCCTTTACTTCAGACTGCATGCCCCTTGTTTATGCCTAAAATGTGAAAGATTTTAGAGTATATTCTGAAATCTTTTAATTCTTAAATTTTTAAGAGTCACTCACTGGCCGGTGCCGCAGCTCACTAGGCTAATCCTCCACCTTGTGGCACCGGCACACCAGGTTCTAGTCCCGGTTGGGGCGCCAGATTCTGTCCCGGTTGCCCCTCTTTCAGGCCAGCTCTCTACTGTGGCCAGGGAGTGCAGTGGAGGATGGCCCAAGTACTTGGGCCCTGTATCCCATGGGAGACACATAAGTACCTGGCTCCTGCCTTCGGATCAGCACGGTGCGCTGGCCGCGGCGGCCATTGGAGGATGAACCAACGGCAAAGGAAGACCTTTCTCTCTGTCTCTCTCTCTCACTGTCCACTCTGCTTGTCAAAAAAAAAAAAAAAAAAAAATCACTCATGGTACAGGAATGTTAGCCAATGCTAACAGCTTGCCGTGTGCCCCCAGGTGCTGGCTGTTCTAAGCACTGTTACACTTTCTGACTGATTGCACCCTCACAAGTCATCTAAAGTGAGCATTAATGTTATACCCACTTTACTTTGGACAAAGTGGAAACAGAGGTGGAGTACCAGGGATCACGTGGTGAGAAACAAAGTCGTATTTGAAGCCAAACAGTTTACATCAGATCGTATGCTTTGGTGCCGCACTAAGGGGAGCCAGATTTCAATAATGTTGTTTTGTGCCTTCTGTGTATTGTGTAAATTCTTTCCTATTTTCTGATACTGCCCTTGAAAGATTTTCAAATTTTGCTTGTTACATCTGGAATTTAGTTGTGTAGAATGAATTAGGAATCTAATTTTATTTTTAATTTATTTATTCAAGAGGCAGAGAGAAAGTGAGCTCCCATTGTTGGTTCACTCCTCTAATTCCCCCAATTAGTAGGGTCAGCTTGAGTCCAGGAGCCCAGAACCCGAGCCATGTCTTCCACATGCGTGATAGGGACCCAGCCACCCAGGCCATCACCGCTGCCTCCCAGGGTCTGCATTGGGAGGAAACTGGAATTGGGAGTCGGAACTGATTATCCAGTGTTGAACCCAGAAACTTGTACCTGGGACACGAGCATTTTAACAGCTATACCAGTCACCCGCCCCTGCAATCTGACGTTGCTGTTACATAGAACAACCTAATTGCTAATGAGAGTTATTGAAAAAGTGAAGAACTTTTCAATTGGTGCATTCACAATTCACAGCTAAGTCATCCTTTTCAGTGCCGAGTATTCCTGCATGAAGCGTAGACATCCACTTTGTTCACAGCTCAAGAAGAGGTATTCTGCTCTCTTGTTCTGTGACTGTGTGGCTTGGTACACCTTTCCCCTTCCTCGTCTGCCATCCACTCTCCCTTTTTCTTCATTCTCTCCATTGTATCTCAGCATCTCCCACCTTTTTAAGAATACTGCGTGGGGGAATTGGGAGACGTTCCCAAGTCATGCAGTGATTCCTAGTTCCTTCCGAAACTGCGTGGATGTATTTTTCTTTGGAGGCTGAAGACCTTGCGTCTGTCAGCTGTCCTCTCACAGGCCTGTAGATAGTTCTGAGTAGGAGTCGTTTGTGGGACTGTATACTGCGGCTCTGCATGCCTAGGTAGAACAGAAATCAGGCGAAAGACAGTTGTTTTATTTCTTCAGTTACTATGGAGGGAAACAAAATCACATCTAAAATGCAATTCTTTGTAAATAATTAACTGTACTGAAAATATAGTGTGGTGTTTTTTCAATTTTAGAGACGTAATCAAACCTTGATACAAGTCCCTAAACACTGTGATCAATGTTGATCCTCCAGATTAAGTTAAACTTGATCTAAAGAAAGTCTACAGAGTGCATGTAAACTAATGCTATGTAAATATCAGAACCTAACAAAGAAAGCCGAGCATGCATAAGCTTGGAGCAGTATTAGATAGTGTTCATTAGGTTTGTTGTTCTTTGTATCATGGTGCTCTTTGAGCTGATTTTAAAACTAAGGACTCCATTAGGGTCCTATTGTATACTGCAGTTCTGGGATCTGAAATTGCATTCCGAAAGAAATGGAACAATGAGCCGGCGCCGTGGCTCAATAGGCTAATCCTCCACCTTGCGGCGCCGGCACACTGGGTTCTAGTCCCGGTCGGGGCACCGGATTCTGTCCCGGTTGCCCCTCTTCCAGGCCAGCTCTCTGCTATGGCCAGGGAGTGCAGTGGAGGATGGCCCAGGTGCTTGGGCCCTGCACCCCATGGGAGACCAGGAAAAGCACCTGGATCCTGGCTCCTGCCATCGGATCAGCGCGGTGCGCCGGCTGCAGCGGCGGCCATTGGAGGGTGAACCAACGGCAAAAGGAAGACCTTTCTCTCTCTGTCTCTCTCTCTCACTGTCCACTCTGCCTATCAAAAATTAAAAAAAAAAAAAAAAAAAAGAAATGGAACAATGAGAATTTTCTACAGTCTAGAAAACTTCGAGCACTGAAGAAAATGGATTTTTTTTTTTTTTTTTTTGGACAGGCAGAGTGGACAGAGAGAGAGACAGAGAGAAAGGTCTTCCTTTGCCGTTGGTTCACCCTCCAATGGCTGCCACGGCCGGCGCACCGCGCTGATCCGATGGCAGGAACCAGGTGCTTCTCCTGGTCTCCCATGGGGTGCAGGGCCCAAGTACTTGGGCCATCCTCCACTGCACTCCCTGGCCACAGCAGAGAGCTGGCCTGGAAGAGGGGCAACCGGGACAGAATCCGGCGCCCCGACCGGGACTAGAACCCGGTGTGCCGGCGCCGCAAGGTGGAGGATTAGCCTAGTGAGCCGCGGCGCCGGCTAGAAAATGGATTTTGAAGAGCTGTTGTTGCAAGTCTTGGTAACTGGACTGTCTGGAACTCTGGCTTCTCCTCCCTGCCTCTGGCTCTGTCACTTGCCCCCAGGAGCATCAGGCGGAAGGAGGAAGTGACAGCAAACAGTCTTTATTCCAGATACTCTGTTTTTTATTAAGTAGTCGAGCATGATGTCATTTTGTCATGAATTTCAGTCTTAAATTATCTTTTGACTTTATATTGCTAACTTGTTCATCTAGAGAGAAAATACTGTTTTTATTCACATCAGTAGTAGTATACTGAATTCAGTAAGGAACTAAATGTGTTTAAAGCTCAGAGGTCAGCATAATTCCTGATCAGATGGCCACGAGGCAATATATCCTCACGGAAAAAGAAAGTTACTGCAACCGATGCACGTTTCAGACTTGGTGTATTATGAAATATGGGGTAGGGGAGGGGGTAACCTCTAGATAGGTTTTTGTAGACTACTTATACACAGAAAGGGAATACGATGTTTTAAGATGGTAAACTTGTCATCTAACACTTGAACTGGGAATTTATAGTGCTCTAAGTTGTTTTATTATGGTTTCTGTTACTGCTCAGCTGGGAGCAGTGTCTGAAGTCTTTCTGTGAGCCCTACTCTGCTTCAGGAGCACAAGCCACACCCAACAGCACCCTTTTTTTTTCCCCTCCTGAGTTTGGGAAACATGACCTCTCCCAGCTCTGCTTTGAAGTGTGAAGGTTTAAACATTTAAATCTGAGCAGCTTTTCTTTTTCTGCACTGCCTTTGAATGGTTCTAACCCATATGAAAGGCTAGTCAGTCCCTTGATTAACAAAACCTTTTGGAGACTACATTTTGTGAGTTTTATCCAGTTAAAGACCCGAATTGAACCTTGGCTTGTTTAATTACTTACCTCTTCCTGTCCCTATCTGAGTTAGCTCGCCCAGGTTTACCGCCGTTCCTTGTGGTATAACAACATTCACCTTTGCCTCTTTCAGCAATATCTTCCCATTCTTACCTCTTCTCGTCTCCAGCTACTACCAGTTAAGTGTCCTTACTAGAATAGAATGATCCATTACCTTTGGCATGATTGGATTAAAAAGATAACCATGATAAAAATTTGGTTTTTCTATCTAGCCATTGACATACGTCATCTTGCCAGCATTTTCATATGACCATAGTCTGTAAGCCTAGAACAGAATCACAGTGATGTTTGAATACCAAAATGTTCTTACATGCTTAACTTGAAATGCAGATAACCTTGTTCTACATAGATATAGTTGTCAGCCAAATAATGCTAAAGGATATGAACTAATTCATTTTTAAATCCACTAAGGGGACACTGTTATTCAAAGAAACACTGTAATAAATCCTCTAGCAAAAGAATACCCTCATATCTGATGGAAATATTTTTTCATATACTATATCTGTTTTACTTGGAGCACAGTAGACTGGTGTGACAATAGTATTCAAGAGGGAAACAGGGACAGGAGGAATTCTAGGTCATGACCTGTGCTGAGATTTGGGAATAACTTTTCCGTACATTTTGGCCTACTGATTCCAGTGAATCTTGGGGTCCTTCTAACGTCTGCCTCTTTTTTTATGCTAGATTGAGCGGTTGGAAGTAAGCAGCCTTGCCCAGACTTCCAGTGCGGTAGCCTCCAGCACCGATGGCAGCATCCATACAGACTCTGTGGATGGAATCCCAGACCCTCAGCGCACAAAGGCTGCCATTGCTCACCTGCAGCAGAAGATCCTGAAGCTCACGGAACAGATCAAGATTGCCCAGACGGCCCGAGACGACAACGTCGCCGAGTACCTGAAGCTTGCCAACAGTGCAGACAAGCAGCAGGCTGCCCGCATCAAGCAGGTCTTTGAGAAGAAGAACCAGAAATCTGCCCAAACCATCCTGCAGCTGCAGAAGAAGCTTGAGCACTATCACAGGAAGCTCCGAGAGGTAGAGCAGAATGGGATCCCCCGGCAGCCAAAGGATGTCTTCAGGGACATGCACCAGGGCCTAAAGGATGTGGGAGCCAAGGTGACTGGCTTCAGTGAAGGTGTGGTAGACAGTGTCAAAGGCGGCTTTTCCAGCTTCTCCCAGGCCACCCATTCAGCAGCAGGGGCTGTGGTCTCAAAGCCCAGAGAGATTGCCTCGCTGATTCGGAACAAATTTGGCAGTGCAGACAATATTCCTAACCTGAAGGACTCTTTGGAGGAAGGGCAAGTGGATGATGGAAAGGCTTTGGGGGTGATTTCAAACTTTCAGTCGAGCCCAAAATATGGTAGTGAAGAAGATTGTTCTAGTGCCACTTCGGGCTCAGTGGGAGCCAACAGCACCACTGGGGGCATCGGCGTAGGAGCATCAAGCTCCAAAACTAACACCCTGGACATGCAGAGCTCAGGATTTGATGCGCTGCTACATGAGATCCAGGAGATCCGGGAGACCCAGGCCAGACTAGAGGAATCCTTTGAGACCCTCAAAGAACATTATCAGAGGGACTATTCCTTAATAATGCAGACCTTGCAGGAGGAGCGATATAGGTAAGTTGTATGGATTTAAAATCCTGTTATTGTTTGGGATTCCTTCTGCTTGGATGCAGTGAAGTGACTTTACGTCTTTATCTTTCTCTAGAGTGTCCAGAGCACGTTAGATATGTCCTATGACATCCATGTACGTTCCTGTTTGACAACAGAGCAGAGGCATAGCGGTTAAATGCATCCCACTCTGAGGAAGCCCGTTAGTCAGGGGGTGGAGCATACTCTCCCGTGTTCATTCTGATCCAGGCGTTTAAAGTAAAGCCCAGGCTTTAGGCGTTGATAATCACAGGACCACACAGTCATTGCAGCCCATTCAGAAGATTTATAATTCCTGGAATTCTGTAGAAATCAGAGATACAGCCCAGCTAAAATTCAATGAACCTTGTAGATATCTGTCCTTAAACATGCTTATCTGGGCAAATGGTACAGAAAGATTAGATTGGAAACAAATCCAATCCAGAGAAGTATGTGTGTTACCTTTATAATGAATTGGCACGTGTTTGAATGGGGACTATGAAATGGTGCTCTGGTGGTCAGAAAATTTTCCAAGGGCTAAATGCTTTGAGTCATGATCTGTGTGAAAGGCCACATCTGGTCTCTTCTGTGTTTCATGTTACACTGACGCAACAGGAGGACACTCTTCGCTTTCTCCAAGTGTGTCCTTTCCCCTCGTTTCCTTTACATACAGAGAAAAATAATATCCCCAGTGGGGTACTCAGTTCACATCCAAGCTTTGTCGGACAGAGGCCACCTCATGAGACAGATTGAGGCCCTGTCCCATGACTACATAGAGGGGCTCCCCAGGACTGTGTAACATCAGCGGTTGAACTCTGTTAAGGGCCATTGCTCCTCTTAAAAATGAAAATGTGTTTTTTGTTTTGTTTTTTTTTTAAATGTATTTTATTTATTTGAAAGACAGAGTTAGAGAGGTAGAGACAGAGAGAGAGGTCTTCTATCCGCTGGTTCACTCCGCAGATGGCCGCAATGGCCAGAGCTACGCTGATCCTCAGCCAGGAGCAAGGAGCTTCCTCCAGGTTTCCCACGCGGGTGCAGGGGTCCAAGGACTTGGGCCTTCCTCCACTGCTTTCCCAGGCCACAGCAGAGAGCTGGATCGGAAGTGGAGCAGCCGGGACTTGAACCAGCGTCCACGTAGGATGCTGGCACTGCAGATGGCGGCTTTACCTGCTATACCGCAGTGCCAGCCCCTCTTTTTTCAATTCTAACTTAAGACTTGAAGGGAAAAGAAAGAAGCCCAAAAGCAGATACTTTACTTTTTTTCATTTGTGTTTTTTTTATTTACTGAAAGGCAGGGAGAGAAGGACAGACTGAGATCTGTCTTCTGGTTCACTCCCCAAATGTCCACAATAGGCAGGGATGAGCCAGGCAAAAGCCAGGTGCCGGGAACACAATCCAGGTCTCCCAGATGGATGGCAAGCACACAACTACCTGAGCCATTGTGTGTTGCTTCCTTGAGTGTTTGTTTTTTTAAATATTTATTTATTTATTTGAAAGTCTGAGTTACACATAGAGAGAGGAAAGGCAAGAGAGAGAGAGAGGTCTTCCATCCAGTGGTTCACTCTCCAGCTGGCTGCAACAGCTGGAGCTGCACCAATCCAAAGCCAGGAGCCAGGAGCTTCTTCCAGGTCTCCCACGTGGGTGCAGTGACCCAAGGACTTGGGCCATCTTCTACGGCTTTCCCAGGCCATAGCAGGGAGCTGGATCGGAAGAGGAGCAGCCAGGACTAGAACTGGCACCTATATGGGATGCTAGCGCTTCAGGCCAGGGCGTTAACCCACTGCGCCACAGCACCTGCCTCTCCTAGAGTGTTTATTAGCAGGAATGCCAAACAGGAGCAGAGCCAGGACTCAGGCACTCCAGTATGGGATGTGAGCATCCCAAGAGGCATCTTAACCATTAGGCCAAATGTGTGTCCCCAGTACTGTTTTTATTTCTCTGTATTATATATTCTTTAATACTGAGAAGATGCTGTCCGGAATGCAATAAGTGATCTAAATGTTCAAATGGATTCTAAAAATAAAACACCGAGTTCTTTGTATCATTTTACAACTAAGTCTCAAGTTCAGGTTCCAAGTGTACTACTTAGAAACTTTGAAAACCAGGCATTCAGGCATTTCTTAACTTCTCTAAGTCGATATTGCCTCATCTCTGAAAAAAAGAATGGTAGTCTTTGCTTCACAAGATTTTGACATTTAAATGAAAGAATTTGTGTAAAGCAAATAGCTCAGTGCCTGGCCACAGCTGCTGTTAACCCGTTCCATCAGTGTCTCTGCCTCCAACACACACACACACACACACACACACAGTGTTGTGTGAATGTAGGGACCTAGGTATTCCACAGTCAGTCATTAAAAAAGCAAAAGGAAATGCAGAAAACTAGCTGTTTTGACGTCTTTATTTTGAATGGAGAGCTCAATATTCCAGTTTTTTTTTAATTATTTATTTATTTATTTGAAAGTCAGAATTACACACAGAGAGAAGGAGAGGCAGAAAGAGAGCAAGGTCTTCCATCCGTTGGTTCACTCCCCGGTTGGCTGCACCGGCCGGAACTGCACCAATCTGAAGCCAGGATGCAGGAGCTTCTTCCATGTCTCCCACACAGGTGCAGGGGCCCATGGACTTGGGCCATCTGCTGCTGCTTTTCCAGGCCACAGCAGAGAGCTGGATGGGAAGTGGAGCAGCTGGGATTCGAACTGGCTCCCATATGGGATGCCAGAACTGCAGGCAGTGGCTTTACCTGCTACACCACAGCGCCGGCCCCACATCCCAGTTTTTAAATTCCTCCAGAGCTTGTTATGTCTTCAAGTCAGATGTAGGTCAGTGTGAGAAAATCAGAGAGGAAAAACAGGTCTCACAAGCCCTGCCTTTGTGTAAGTTAGAGACAAGACAGAGTTTTAGCTCTTCATCATCACCTCATTAAAAGAATGAAGTCCAAGCCACTTTAGGAGGTAATGATCTTCCATTGCACTTTGAGTTTTCTGTAGTTGGTTAAATGTCTAGTTTTCTGGACCAAAGAAAGAACATGAGTTAATTTGCACAAGAAGTTAAAGCCTTGGTTGTGGGGGCGACTTGTTTTGTCATCCCACTTCAGCTTTGGTGTTTCCTTAAACCACAAGCTTGAACAAAGAAAGACATTTTACCCTTTGCAACCCTTTTGTTGCACTGAAAATTATCTATAAAGAACATTTAGAGATTCCCCTGCGTTCATGTGTTTTGTATGGTACATGTATTTATTGCAGATGCATATGTTTATCTGGCTTTGGTCATTGAATAGCTTCACGGAAAGGAAATTTTTTTCCACAAACTGAGGGCGATTTTAAGCACTTCTGGAGAATTTTTCTAGCCTTCTTTTAACAAAACACAATGAACCTCACTGATTGGAAATAGTTTAGAATGGTAGTATTCTAGCCTAGGGCAATAAGCAGATTTATGAGGCTAGAAGGCCCTAGGCTTGTTTTTTGTTTTTGTTTTTTTTGTTTGTTTGTTTTGTTTTTTTTTTGTTTGTTTGTTTGTTTTATAATTTCTTTTCACCTCTTCATGTCCCCTCTACGCTGTTAGTGAGCTGCCTGCAGCAGCCTCTTTACTAATTCTGCTTCTACTCTGGGGGAGTAGGCTAAGGATAAATTTGCAGGATTCTTTGGTGACCCAATTAATGCATACATGGCTGCCCTAGAAACATTTTTTTTCTTTATTTTTTCTATGTTTTATAGCTAATGCCTTTTTTTTAACTTATTTTTAAAAAGGAGTTTTATTTATTTGAAAGGCAGAGCAACAGGGAGGGAGGAAGGCAGAGATTTTTCCATCTGCTGATTTACTCCTCAAATGGCAGTCACAGCCAGGTTTGGGCCAAGCTGAACCCAGGAGCCTGAAACTCTCCATTTGGGTCTCCCACCTGGATGGCCAGGACCCAAGTACTTGGGCCATCTTCTGCTTCTTTGCCAGGTGCATTAGCGAGAAGCTAGATGGGAAGCAGAGTCAGCTGGAACCGGTACTCCAGTATGGGATGCCCACACTGCAGCACAAAACTGGCCCTTCTTTTATTAGTATCTGCGATGCGAGAGGGACGCTATTACTGCTTGTTATTTGATCATGTGAAGGACACTGTCTCTGACAGCATTCTGTAACTCTTTATACTTCACATGGATTTGCTAACCTCGCAATAGCCCTGCAACTATATTATCCTGGCTTTACACATAAGGAAATTGAGGCACACTGGGGTTTTAAAAGTTTGCCAACGGTCACTCACTAAGTGGTTCAATGAGGGTTCAAACTCCATCTTAATACCAGGACAGGTTTTTTCCAGCTGAATCCTGAAATCTATATGATTGAGAGTCTGGTCCAGCTCTAAGAGCTGCAGTGGCAGGCAGTGGGTGCTGAGCCTTGTCCAAGTCAGAGTTGGTCTTCACTAAAAGTTGAAGTTGGGTTTTTTTTTTTTTTTTCATACTTTATAAAATACTGTAAATTTATCTATTTTATACTTGAATTCCCAAGCTAGTATAATAGTGTAATAGATGGGACCTATGTCAGGAACCCATGCCCAGTCATTATTCCCCCCTCGAAGAGTCCCCTCTCAATAATGTCACTCGCTGGAAGTGCTTCCATCGCTCTCGACCCTAGTGAGTAGAGCCAGGAAACACAATTGCCCAAGACCATTTGCTGAATTCTGGAATAAGCAGAAGCATTCCGGAGCCCGTGGAGTACAGTCTCTCTTCACTTACAGAATTGTGCCCAAACTAACAGTGTGGAATCAGCACCATGTATGTCCAGCCCAGGAACCCCCTGCAACAAAGCATGGGTCTGAACTGCACCTCATCTCTGGGCTAGGAACTGGTTCATCTCTGAGCCCTGCTTTGGACTCACAGATGTCAGTGAGGTCCCATATTCAGGGGAGGTGGGAGATAAGGTTTGGAGTGAAGGTTCATGATGGGATCTTCACCATCTTCACATTCTTCTTGTCCACTGAGTCTCTTCATCCCGTGTAAGTG